TATCTGTTTATTAATCTTGGCATAGTCGCCACATAACGTGCAGTACAAATGAGAGACGTGTTACTCTTTATATGTCTTTAATTAGGTTATCTTACTACTATAATTAACATTGTTTTATGTAGTCGCGTATCACAACACGATATCATCCCGTGGTGTCATAAGATACGAAAGAGGGAAATGTAAAGGAGATCAGCACCAGTATCTTCCCGATAACAACTCCAAGTAGTATAAACTGTGGTTGTATCTCGCTTGCCAACTTGCAATTGCAACTATGGCAACTATCCCCCTATGAGGCAATCTATGGGGACGCTTATATTCAGCTGTGATGATTAACAGGCATATAATATACATAACTGAAAATTTTTAAAAAATATGTCGAACTTAAAGTATACCTATAAATGCTGAATGTACCTATAACTTTGTTTTATATTATTAATTATTGAACAGTGCACTATTTTAACTTATAATAGCGGTGAAAACTAATAGACAATCGCTTTTAGTTTGTTTTTAGGTCATAGTAAGATTCATATTTTATATGCTAATTTCTCAGTACTCCGTTTAGATTCCGTTAAACTAATATTACTATTAATTTTACGGAAATTATATAACAAATAAATCGACATGCATTTTATTAGGGGTAGCTAGAATTTGTGGTGGGCCCATTCTCCATACAAAACGAAACTGTCTCCTTTGATGAGCTACTTTATAAAATTGAGAGCGTCATATAAAAACGAAACATTGGTATGCGAGATGCTATTCCAGCTATATTAAAACTGGAAATTACATTGAGATATTTAGCTGTCGGAGATTCTTTATACACATTATCAGCACTTCACATGGTTGGAAGATCTACAATATCTGAATTTATATCTAAAGGTTGTGCTGCAATATGACTTTAAAGGATTACATTTGAAAAGTTTTTACATTAAACTGCTATTAAAGGCTGGAGTTTTGAGCAAGCTCGGTCCTTCTGTGGTCGAGATGAGCGTGGCTCTACCACGTATAATTTTTTTTTTATAGAAGAGGGGGCAAACGAGCATGCGGCTCACCTGATGGTAAGTGACTACCGCCACCCATGAACAACCGCAACACCAGGGGAATTGCAGATGCGTTGCCGGCCTTTTAGAAAGGTGTAAGCTCTTTTCTTGAAGGTTCCTAAGTCGTATCGGTCCGGAAAATTCGCTGGTGGTAATTGATTCCACAAGAAAGTTGTGCGAGGGAGAAAACTTCTTCTAAATCGCACAGTAGTAGACCGCCAATCATCCAGATGGTATGGATGGTAACGCGAGTTTTGTCGCGATGTGCGATGGTGAAATTGAGCGGCTGGAATTAGTCCGAAGAATTCCTCAGAGCACTCCCCGTGATAGATGCGATAAAATACGCAAAGAGATGCAACATCTCTACGCAGTGCCAGTGTATCGAGCCGATCAGAAAGAACTCGGTCGTCGACGATTCGAACCGCTCTGCGCTGGATGCCGTCAAGTGGAAGGAGCTGGCACTGGGGTGCCCCTTCCCAGGGATGAGAACAGTATTCCATGTGAGGCCGGATTTGCGCTTTGTAAAGTTGCAAGCGATGTGCCAGCATGAAATACTGTCTCGCTCTGCTGAGCACGCCAAGCTTTTTAGAGGCCAATTTGGCCTTCCCTTCCAAGTGACCACGAAACTGCACACTATTCGATATGTCGACGCCAAGGATTCCGATACTAGCTGAGGCAGCAAGGGGAGTGCCTTGAAACTGAGGAGATACGACAAAGGGAACAGACGTAAACTACATGATTTAGTTTTTTTGTACAAGCTTACAAATGGGACCATAGATTCTGCAGAATAACTATCATAAATATTGTTCAAAGTTCCCTGCCGTATACCGCGTTTTTCGATTCCCTTACTCAAACACAAATTGTATAAAACTAATCTTGGTCATCACTCTCTTATACCGAGAATAAGCAGATTGTATAACGAATGTGTCCTTAAAGATAAGACTATTGACTTATTTAGCGATAGTATAAAATCTTTTAGAGCCAAAATTTTCAATCTATTTAATAACTCATAGTAAAAATTATACCATAACTTTATATAAACTCGATATAAATGTTGTTATTTTTATATATTTTTAATTTTCATATATTTCGTATTGTCCTTATTGTGTTTGTTTGTTTTATATTAGTATTTTACTCGTACATGTAACAATTATTAAGTCATCGTACAGTTATCGTCTTTTTTAAACATGCTGTAACTACCTTTAAATGGAAACATGTAAATCTTAGTTCCTAAGCCTATTGTCACATTTTTTTTAAAACAACATGTTATTCCGTTGGTGGTTCTATCAAAAAAAAAAGGGGTTCTTTTTAGCGGTAAACGCGCAAACTTGTGTCTTCTGGGGATTGAACTGGACTAGATTTAGTTGGCCCCAATCCGAGACTTTGTTAAGCAAAGACTCGACTTCAGACACAAGTTTGTCCCGGTACTCAGCGACGTTTTCCCGAGAAATATTGGCACGGCCGGTATATAAGGCATCACCAGTGCTGTCGTCTGCATAGCAATGAATGCTACTAGTTAGGAACATATCATTGATATGCAGGAGAAACAGCGTTGGTGATAGCACGCAGCCTTGTGGAACACCAGCGTTGGTAGGCTTGAAATCAGAGCACTACGACCTTGATGCTCCGATCAGCAAGGAAACTGGTGATCCATTTGTACAATTTCTCAGGAAGCCCATAGGAAGGAAGCTTCGAAAGAAGCACTTTGTGCCAGACCCGATCGAAGGCCTTCGCTATGTCCAAACTAACGGCCAATGCCTCCCCCTTGGACTCTACTGCCTCCGCCCATCTATGAGTCAGATAGACTAGAAGATCACCAGCTGATCGACCTCGACGAAAACCGTACTGGCGATCACTAATCAGCTGGTGATCCTCAAGGTACCTCATGAGCTGGCAGTTTATAATGGATTCCATTATTTTGGAGAACAAGGAGGTGATGGCAATAGGCCTGTAGTTGGACGGGTCTGAGCGGTCGCCTTTTTTAGGGATCGGGTGGACTAAAGCAGTCTTCCATGAATTCGGGACTACGCCTTGGGAGTAGGAGTATCGGAAAAGACGCGTTAAAACCGGTGCCAACTCCGGAGCACACGTCTTCAGCACAATGGGAGGGACTCCATCGGGCCCACTCGACTTGCTGACGTCCAGGGAGAAGAGTGCTTTGCGAACCGAGCGCTGTGTAAACCGCACATCCGGCATGGAGCACTCACATCGCGGGATGGTGGCGGTGTATTCCCCCCGTCATATAGAGTCGAGTTGGACGCAAAAAGAGAGCTCAACAGATCGGCTTTCTCCTTTGCGGCATGGGCCAGTGAGTCGTCCTCCCTGTGCAGAGATGGAAGAGATGGCTGACAGAAGTTCCCTTGGACAGCCTTGGCGAGAGACCAGAATGCACGTGTTCCCGAAGGAAGGCGAACTAGTTTCTCACTAATTCTGCCGATGTGCTCAAACCTTGCCAATGACGCTTTTGTAGGACCTGGAGGCGGAATTATACTTCTTTTTAAGTACGCTGGTACTTACATCCCGAGACGTTGATGCATCAGCCCAGGCCCGGTAGCACTCCTGCTTATAGCGTGATGCTATTTTACAGGAGCGACCAAACCATGGCTGGGATCTGCCTCCGATGTGCATCACAGAGGATGGAATAAAAATTTCCATTCCCTGAAGTACCACATCAGCAACAAAATCGGCAACAACGCTGGGATCTTTCGGCGAGAAGCAAACCCGCCCCCAAGGGTACGATGCAAAAAAAGACCGCATCCCGTCCCAATCAGCTGACCTATAGTGCCAAACACGGCGGCAAGCTGCAGATCGCAACTGCGATTGGAGGCGTGAGTGGCACCGTACTCCGGATCAGACAATGGTCCGAAGAGTCCAGAGAGGCATCGACGGAGACCTGATATCCGTCCGGATGAGAGGTCAGCAGAAGGTCCAACAGGGAAGGTACATGGTCTTCCACATCTGGGATCCGCGTAGGCGAAGTAACCAGTTGTGTTAGACCATATGCCAAAGCAAAGTCATAGACAGATCTACCCGCATGATCGGTTAAACGAGAACCAAGCCATTCAGCGTGATGGGCGTTAAAATCACCGAGTATCACCATCTCTGCGGATGGGACCTGTTGTAGCACGGAGTCTGCAGCCATTTGGACGTGGTCGATGAGTCGGTCTGTGTCGGCATTACCGCTATGGGACCTATAGAGGCCCTGTAGACGCGGGGATGGTCGTCGCTGTCTACGCGCAGCCATAGGATGGACAGGTCCGTTTTTTCAAGACTGCCGAGGCGTCGAAAACAGATGTCCTCTCTGACGTATACGCAAACTCCAGCCCGGGGTACAAATGAGTGTTCCAATTTGTACCCCGGGTAGGAGAGATATGAAGTATCAGCCGGAGAGACACCTGAGTCTCGGTTAAAAAGAGCAAGGCCGGCTTCGCCGTCTCTAGATGGTAATGGACAGCGTTAAGGTTGGAATGAAGTCCCCTGATGTTGCAAAAATTCACGGATAGCGTGACAGGGGTCGCCTTGGTTGTATTGCTCCGCTTGCGCCGAGCAGCATTAGTCGCGAGCGGAATGTTGCCCCCCCCCCCCCCCCCAAGAATACGCGGGGCAGCCTGAGCACCCACGCTCAGGAGTTAAGTAGTTTGGTCGTGGATGCTCAGCGAGGGATTCTCCAGGGGTGCTGGTACCCTCCTGGGGGTAGTCTTTTATTTAATTCCACTACCATGTTGATGGGGAGGGGGGAATTGGGCCTCCGGCCACCTGCACTCACCAAGCGGAACGCAGAGGTAAACCTCTACTTCACGCTGGTATTCCGTGAGGTCGTGGTACCACCCCGGTTCGAGCTGGCCCATCCGTGCGACAGCAAAAGCTACCGCTTAGCTCTACAACTGTTAGAAATTTTAATACCAATTTTAAAATTCTTGTATATTTTGGACGTTGCATATATAATAGAGATTTATTTTGCAGCGCCGGCTAACTCAGAAATACAGCATAGCCGTCGGCGTGCCAACACTAGTCATCCGTGGTAGAGCAGTCCGGGATGCCTTGTTGAACGATCCCGCAGGGGAGAGATTCCCCTGGCCCGCTCCACCCTTGCAAGACGTATTGCGTGGAGTACAATTACAAGGAGAGAGCGGTTCCAAATTGTTTGAAGAGCTCCCTGGGGACGCTGTTAGAGTGTTTTACTTTGCAGCGCATTGGGTAAGTCCTAATTATTAACAATTAACACTTATGTTGTTGGCGTTAGAGAGTTGAGTAAAATAACAACATTTAATCCGCTTTGAGGGTTCTGTGGCGCAGTGGCTAAGCGTTTGGTTTTCGCGCTTCGGGTAGCGGGTTCGAATCACAAGCGGAAAAAGTGTTTGTATATCTTCCAAATAATTGTTATGTGGTAGGGCCATGCTGCAACTAAATTATGTTTGTGGCACGAATGGATCTGCTCGACCGGGTTAGGACCATGCTCTCACAGAATACTGCTACTGTGTTTCGTATGGTGAGTGTAGAGAACCGGAGACCCTTTATACTGGAAATGAAGATTCCATCTTAGTCCTCAGGGGTAACAGCGCATTTGCATTTTAATTTTTAACTGAGGATAGATCACACACCATCAGGTGCTGTGTGCACGTTTGTCACCCCCATTTTATTTTTAAAAAAAATGTGTCAACTCCGCCAGCACACACTGGCGCTGTTCCTTATTCAGTATTTTATTCCTAAATCCAGGATAAATCTGTGGATCACAACATCCACTTACCACCAGGTGGACTGTGTGCCCTTTTGTTACCCTTAATCTATAAAAAAGTCTGTATGTTCGTTCATATGCTTTTTACTTATGGTACAGGAGAAAATCATAGAGTAGGTAGCGTTATTTATATCAAAAAGGTGACAATCTCTCCTGCATGCTGTGTTGGTAGCTAACGAACGAGGTTTTAACAAAATATATTCGTTCGAAAATACCGAACCAAAATCCCACAGACGAAGGGCAGTTATATTCCGAGGGTAGGTACCATTTCTATTTTTACCAGTCCTCAGAGGGTGAGTCCATATATTTCAAGATACAGGTGGGCAAATTTTAGGAAAGTTAACTAAGCATGGACTGGATGGGCTGAAAAATATATAAAAGAATAAAAACTTCTAGAAAGATCGAGAACTTCTTCATCTTTGTCGGCCCCTAAAAGTTGTTGAGGATTTGCTTTAACCATTACGATTACCAGACGGATTGACAATCGCAGAACCAGACGTCTCGCTCCTTTGACGGTGCTATCAATCGCGGGTCCTCGTGATTTTTTTTACAGAATAAGGGTGAAAAACGAGCACACAGTCCACCTGATGGTAAGTAGATACAATAGCCCATAGACTTCTACATTTAGAATCAAAATGCAGACACGTTGTCACCCCTGAGGCCTAAGATGGAAGACCTTGATTCCAGTAAAAAGGGTCTCCGGTTCTCTGCACTCATCGTACGAAATACGTCATCATTAAGCTGGTATTCTGTAAGAGCGTGGTCCTACCCCGGTCGAGCCGACCCATTCATTCTACAACCATAATATAGCTGAAGCGTGGTTCTGCCACGTTTTAGCGTCTAGCGTAAACGCACTCTTGCGGTAGCCGTTAGATATGACATTTAGCATATGCGGCTTTTGCGATACCTACGGACGGCGGCATTAATGAATCCATAACGATATGGTGTTATGGATTCATTAATGCCGCCACCACACGCCCGAGGAAAAACTTGTAATGGATAATTAATGCTGTTTTTTTTTGTTCGAGTAATATAACTTGTATCTGATACTGCAAGTAGAAGAAGCTCGCTGCAGCTATAACGGTTTTAAAAAGGCAAAAAGGCCACACTCGTATAGAATACTAGCGTGGAATAGCAACATAATGCTATTGTATTTCGTATGGAACCGGAGAAACATTTTTACTGGTAACAACACATTCCATGTTAGTCCCCGGGGTTACAACGCATCTGAATTCAAGATGTAGGCGTCTATGAGCCACAGTATCCATTTACCATCAGGTGGACCTGTATCCTCGTGTGCCACCCTTACTTCTATGAAACTCCGACACAAAACTTTTTGATACCTCTCATCCAATTAGCTAAGCATTTGACTATGGCGATGCAGACCGAGGATCCGTAGTTCTGGGTCTGGGTGTTTGTCCATGTGTCAATTTATATTTGTAAAAAGCGATAATTAAACTCAGTATTTTTTATAGAATAATGGTCAAATACTCAAATGCTACTCTGTCACTTTAAGTCATAGTGACTGTGACATCACGAGACTTAACGACATCTTAAATTGAGCAGCGTTTGCGTATTTGGGCATAAGAGTGACAAACAATAAACAGCCAATATGATGAAAAGTGGATGCTGTATATCATAAAAATCTACATTTAACCTTGATTAAGAATCAAAATGCAGATACGTTGTCACCCCTGAGGACTAATATATAGGAGCAAATACAACGAGGAGGTGTTGTAATTAGATTTCAGTATGTAACAACGCGCGACAATTTGCGGGGTGAGGGGATTTTAAGCCCCGCCCACTTTACTATTTTCCATCTACCGATAAATAATAAAACAACTCGCATCGTTCCATATCGATGTTGCAATGTAGTTTAGCTACCTTGACGATAGATGGCGGCCTGTTCACAAAATGATTACAAAAACTATAAAAATAATATTTTAAGAATTAAAAACTCTTTGGGACTGAATGCAAAACAAATTTAAACACCTTCGTATGATTATTTTACCAATACTGAGCTCTGCGTACCTTTATATTTTTAGTTCCCATGAGACAAAGTGTCGCCATCTAGTGTCGAATATTTAATTACATTTGAAAGCCGAAGCAGAATTTTTTCTAGAATCTTTTTAATAAATTAGGTATAAAATTACTTACAAATGAAATGTGATGACGTCCATAGCATCAGAGCGTCTATCTGAGTAGTTTTACACGATAAAACGGAACACTTCATGCTTTTTTTCTTAGTAGTACGAAAATATACCGATTTGCGATTTACGACACATAAGCGCACAGGAAGAACGTAGACATTATACTAAGTAAAGCAACGCCCACTGTGATGACGTCAGGACTTAGTTAAAATCACAGTGCACAATTGTTTACACGATCTCCTCTTTGTATTTGCTCCGTGGCCATAACTCAGTATGATTCATATTTTTCCCAGTGCCCTCCTTGTCGCACGTTTGCGCCGAGCCTGTGCGCTGCGCTAGCAGCGGTGCGCAAACGCAGAGCGAAGTACGCCAACACGCAGCTCATACTAGTGTCCAGTGACAGGTGAGTTATTGTTAAATTATATTTTATATCAGCTTTCACCTGAAAAAACATCTTTAAACAGGCTTAAAACCTTAGCCTTTAACATTCATTGATTTAGTTTAGTAGTATAGAATTTAAAAAAAAATGTTAACCGTACATAATCTTAATACACTATAACTTTAAGAGAAAGAAGAAAAATGTTGAGAACATTTTTTGTGTCAACAAACCAAAAAGTTTTGTTCAAAACTTTTTTATGTCTTTCATAGTAGGTAAAGATAAACATCAAAAACCTTTAATTATACAAAAAAAAACATTTATTTCACAAAAGAATATGCGGTTTTTTTTTTCAAACAAATTTTAACAGTGGTAGAGCCACGGGGCAGCTTTTGCTGTCGCACGGATGGGCCGGCTCGAACCGGGGTGGTACCACGACCTCACAGAAAACCAGCGTGAAGTAGAGGTTTACCTCTGCGTCTCGCTTGGTGAGTGCAGGTGGCCGGAGGCCCTTTTTACTGGAAATGAGGCATTCCATCTTAGTCCTCACGGGTGACAACGCATCTATATTTTGATTTGTAATCGAGGATAGATGTAGATGTCTATGGGCCACGGCAACCACTTACCATCAGGTGGACTGTGTGCTCGTTTGTCACCCTTATCCTATAAAAAAAATGTTCTTTGGATAAAATATAGTCTACGTCATCACTCCTGGCGTTGCTCTCTATCTGTTCGTGAAGTTTCATTGCAATCGGTTCAGTCAATTAAAGGATTAGCCCGGGCAGACAAACATAGAAAGGCGGCCAAAAATTATAAAATGGCTATTCATGTTTTTATTCATTTATTTTTACTTTAACTAAAACGCTAAAACCATTCACACTATTTAAAGACAACATACAGCTTCTTCTCGGTCACAAAACTGCAGGCATTCCGACAATATTACCGTCCATTCATCCACAAACCACTCAGGGCTTGTGTCCACTGGAGTTAAGTGCGGTGGGGATACATTTTACTGCCATGAAAATAACCCCCTGATCTTTTTCTCTCCCATTGACATGATTTGTAATATCGACTTTTTGGAAAAAAAAAATTTAACTTTATTTTTAAATTAAGAACTGACTGACTGAACTGAACTGGCTAAAAATAATAAAATAATTGTGTCATAATAACTTCAAAGTAACGACTAGAATGTCTTAACAGCTACATAACAAACATCATTCAATATTTTTCCTGCTTTAGGAGTGGAATTTTTACTGTAAATTTATAAGGGTACCACTCCTGAAGTTTAACCTATTTTTAAAATAAAAACAATTATTTAAATCGATTAAAGCCGTTTCCGAGAAATCTGTGAACATACATAGAAAAAGAAACGCAACGAATATAGAACCTTCTCGTTTTTTAAATAGGTTTAAACCACTGATACAGTTTTAATGAAAACTTTAACAGTTTTTGCCCGCAAATTCCTTCCGCGTAGATATTATAAAATATATTTTATATATATATTATTGTTTGTTAAATAGTGATAGTATTGTTATAAACTTTTTAAAGGAACCAATTATATTTTACAGTTTTTGCACAGCACGCCAAAATAGCTCGCAGATGACAGATTTTTTTGGATTTATTTAACACTTATTTTATGTATTTTGACCAATTTACACAATATCTTTATTAATTATAGCCTATGTGTTGTTCTGGTGTATAAGCTACATTATTGTAAAGTTTCATTAAAATACATTCAGTAGTTTTTGCGTAGAAAAGTAATAAACATCCATACATCGCCACAAACTATCACGATCACAAAATTAGTAGAATAATTATGCAATAAAGCGGCGAATAAAATTGTTTTAGAGTCGCATTGTCATTTCATTTCGAAATATTCAAGACGAAACCTGTTAAACATGAACATACACATATATGCATTTTTTTCTATTATCTCGAAAACTATGTGCGATACGGGATATGGAATATAAATGCACGCACGCACACACGTGTCCCCGTGTAGCGACGGATAAGAATACCCACTACCCCATATCTTCCCGTGGGTGTCGTAAAAGGCGACGGAGGGAAACTGACGCAGAAGATGGGCAGCAGCATCTTTCTGATAACAGCAAATTCCAAAAAAAAAACTGCGGTTGCTAACCCGCTCGCCAAGCGTGCATCTATGGCAATATACCCCCCATGAGCTATGACACTAATAAACGGCTTCCAGTCACTGGCGACCCCGCTATCCCTGTCTATGGTGGCGACCATGGTAACGGCGGGGCAGGTGGTGTTAAGAATCTACGGTGGAGGATCGGTTACCACCTACGACGACTCGACCTGGCAACTTATAACGCACGCACCCTGAGGACTAACGGGAAGATCCTACAGCTGGAAGGAAAGATAGACAAGTTGCGCTGGAATATTATAGGATTATCCGAGTTCCGAAGAAAGGTGGAGGACACGGTAATACTCGAATCCGGCAACTTGTTCTATCACCGGGAGGACGACAATCTGTCCCAAAGAGGTGTCGGATTTAACGTCCACAAGTCTCTCGTTAACAACGTTGTAAAGATTGGGAGTGTGTCGACGAGGGTTTATTTATTTTTTATTTATTTTATTTTCAAGGGAAACATACATATGTTAGTCTAATACATAACACATATTAAACTTACATTTAACAATAAAGTTTCCACAGTTAAGATTAAGGTAGAGCGTACCTCATACTTAGATTCACCAAACGGTATTCGCTGAAGGTCATACAGTTTTACCCACCAACCTCGGCTCATCCCGATGACGACATGGAGGAAATGTATGAGGACATCTCTAGAGCTATGCATTCCTCCAAAACCCACTATACGGTGTTAATGGGTAACTTCAACGCAAAACTAGGCACAAGAGAGAACGGTGAGCTAAAAGTAGGGAAATTCGGAATAGGGCAACGGAACCCAAGGTGCCTACAGCTGGCCAATTTCATCGAGAAAGAGGGACTCTTTATGATGAACTTTTTCTTCCAGAAGCGGCCCCACAAGAAGTGGACCTGACCGAACTCCGATGGTTCGACAAAAAATGATATTGACTTCAATATGTTAACTAGACTGCAACTGTTCAGTGATGTTTCAGTGATCGCGAGGGTGGAAACTAGTAGCGATCACCGAATGGTTAGAGGCACACTGAACCTAAACGTTAAGTTGGAGAGGTCTCGTCTAATGAAGTCAACGTTCCGTCCCCCTCGTGCTCTAATCCAAAGTACCGAAATCTTTCAGCTCGAGTTACAAAACCGTTTTCAGTGCCTAGAAGATTACAATGCAGTGAACGATATAAATGACAAGCTCGTGGAAACTGTCCATACGGTCGGAGCTAAGTTTTGCAAGGCCCGCCGCAGAAGAACACATAAACTCTCCGATCACACTCTTAATCTCATGGCTGTTAGATGGGAAATGAAGCTGCAGTCTTCAGTAAATTTAATAGCATACAGGCAACTGAGCAGACAGATCTCCAAATGCATACGGCGGGACTTACGCAACTTTAATACTGCTTGTATTGAAGAAGCGATCGAGCGGAACCAGGGCTCCAAAGCCAGTCTTTGCCAGAGATCTGTCTCCCAGAAAGAGAAAACTGTTAAATCTGAAGACCGAATGTGGCAGCATCGTTTCCGAGACACCTGAGATTTTGAGTGAGTTTGAGAGGTTCTATGAACAGCTGTATATGTCATCGTTGGAGCCATACGCAAGTGTGAGTAACGATCCAAGAACAAGTCTTATCCGACACTATTCCGATGATATCCCGGACGTCAGTCTGAGCGAGATTAGAATGGGTCTCCAGCACCTTAAAACGGCAAATCCCCGGGCGAGGATGGAATTACAGCGGAGCTTCTGAAAGCGGGTGGAAAACTGATACTTAAAGTTCTTCAGTAGCTCTTTAATTCCGTCCTCCATGGTGGCACTACTCCGGAGGCATGAAGTAGAAGTGCGGTGATCTTGTTCTTCAAAAAAGATCGACCGAGAGGTCAATCGATGGATTCAACTCGGCTGGGCAGCGTTCGGGAGATTCCGACACATCTCACACAGTCAGACATACCTCAAAACCTCAAAACTAGATTGTACAACCAGTGCGTGTTGCCAGTGATGACCTATGGATCTGAGACGTGGTCCGTCACTGCTGGCTGAATGAGGAAGCTTAAAGTCGCTCAGCGAGCTATGAAGAGGGCTATGCTCGGCGTTTCTCTGCGTGATAGACTTCAAAACGAGGATATCCGCAGTAGAACCAGTGTTACGGCCTACGGCTGCCCCTACAAGAATCAAATCCTCCGGGGCCCATTCAGCAGAAGACTTCACGAGCAGACGCAAGTTGGACCTCAATATGGCCGCGTGGAATTTCCTATCACAATAAACTGTTGTATCCTACTACAATTAAAGGGCAGGCTAATCAAATAGATATTACTTACCTGTATGCGAGGCGACTGCTGTCTCAGGGCTCAGTCAGGCCGTAGGTGTGTATGTGTTGAGTATAGTGGTGGTTTTTGGTGTTGGTGGTGATAGACCTACCGGGACCTTCGAAGTCGGCAGCAGCCCGGACTTCGGCGCCGCTCCAAATTGTGGTAATCTTCCGCGGCGTCACCCACCGTCTCTTTATACTATTATTAACTATACTTCCAGACGCCACTAACACTAAACTAAAGCGTAACACACCTCTAATGTCGAAAACGTATCCGAACTATATCAAAGGCAAATTAATATTGTCAAATGCACTTATATGCTAGCAAATTAGAATAACCCAATTCACGGTAAATTAGGCGCGCATAACACGCAATTCAGACTTTGATCGCAGTCAATGTTAACTTCCTAACAATTTGTCAGCCCGGTGTCGAATTCTAGACTTAACAAAGAAACCTTCGTCATGGCAACATCTGCTAACAAAACCGACTCCAAAATGGAGGTTTCCCGGGCGACTTTAAAACGTGCTCTCGATAGCACCGTATTCTAGCAACTCTCTTGCACGTTCTGACCTCGCGCCCTTCTACCCGACGACGCACGGAAGTGGGGCCA